CAGTTCCTGGACTGAAGCTGACAGAGAAACATGGATTCTTCATCACTGCTCTGCTGCTGCTTCCTCCTCTTTATCATCGTCCCCGCTGCAGGTAGGAGCAATAATCTGATCAGAACTATTGACTCTGATCAATGCAGATATTTAGGCTTCAAACTGAATCACTGATCAGTAGCAGTGACCAGTAACCTGATCAATACTTAAATTAACTGATTAATACTTTAACCCTCATTCTGAAGCAGAGCAGCTATGATCAATAATCTGACTGATATCTGGATCAACGTTCACTTTGTAAACTGGGTCTCTGAGAGATAAAGGTTCCGATCAATCTGATCACCGATCAATCTGTCAATAATAAACACTTTGAGCTGTTTTTTTCTATAAACATGATTGTACAGCTAATGGGATAAATACTCTTATTAATAAACTAATGATTTTAAGATTGATTGATCAATTGAATAAATATTCTGATGAAAACAAATAAAATATCAATCGTGTTTATAATCCAACTCTGTTAGTCAGGAATGATCAATGACTGGTTGTTTTATGTTACATCACTTCCTGTCCAGCTGCTCCAATCATCAAAGTGATTAATTAGGATATTGTTCCTCTATGGTCCTCAGAGATCAATCAGCTGATATCAGATCAATAATGTTCTGATTATTGATGCTGATCTTCTGTTCTGGTTCCCAGATGGATATGAGTATTATGCACTGAATCGTTGTGTGTTTAACTCCACTGAGCCGAAGGACATCGAGTACATCTTCTCCTACTATTACAACAAGAAGGAGTTCCTCAGGTTTGACACCAGTGTGGGGCACTATGTTGGATACACGGAGCTGGGAGTGAAGAACGCAGAACAATGGAACAAAGATAAATCAGAGATAGCTGTGAGGATGGCTCAGAGGGACACCTACTGCCTGCACAACGTTGGTATCGACTACCAGGCTGCTCTGACTAAATCAGGTGAGTGTTTGTGTTAAATCTCCTCCTGATGATCCTCAGATCATCTCTGACTAAAGATCACATTCACACCATGAAAACATTGTTTTATTCAGATGTAGTTTATGTATGAAATAAAACTCTAATCTCTGACATCATCATCATAATCATCATCATCATCAGGTCATCAGCACCTTTGGAATATAAAGTTTGTTAGGAATATAAATAGGTTTGCAAATAAATATTTAGCAAATCGATTAATCTGTGAATTATTTTTGGATTAATTGATTAATAATCAGATAGTAAAAGGTTAGTTAAAGAATATTTTTTAATGAAATTAATTACTTCTGGATTATAGAGCAGATTAACAGTGGAGAAAGGTTTCTTTTTTATCTTAAATGCAAAATGTTTATCTATTCTTTTACAATCTTGGTATAATTGCTGCTCTCAGTGGGTCGCTCTGTCAGACATGTTTTATAGTCTCTATACTCTAGTTAACGATTAATCGATTATTAAATTAGTTGAAGATTATTTCAATCATCGATTGATCGATTGTTTCAGTCCTAGAATAAACATTCTATAATGATGATCATGGAAAAATATGGAATTAGACACAAATATCAATATTGACCACAAACATTTATTTATTCATAATCAGATATAATAGAAATAGACTAAATAGATCAATCCTTCTCATGTTTAAAAATAGATTTAATCAATAAAATTAATCCAAAATGTAATTTTAGAAGTTCACTGCAGATATATAATAACACATCTTACCATCTATTTAAAGTCAGTCTGGAAACAGCAATCTGTAACACACAGTTCTATCTGTAAAAACTTCTATATCAATAAGCATCGCTCTACCTCTTAGTAAATAATTTCTGTTGATCTGTCATCAAACCTGTTTTATTACAAAATAATTTCTATAAAATTAAAACAAACCAGGAAGGTGGTCCATAAGTGGGCCGGTGTAGATGGAAAAATGCCAGGGCTGAAAATCTTTCCCAGTCCGAGCCTGAATAGATCTATAATCTGGATTATTTCTCCAGTGGAACCAACAGTCAGACTGTACTCCAGAGCTCCCCCTGGTGGCAGCCATCCCTCCATGCTGGTCTGCAGAGTTTATGACTTCTACCCTAAAACCATCAAGGTGAGCTGGCTGAGAGACGGACAGGAGATCACCTCTGGAGTCACCTCCACTGAGGAGCTGCCAGATGGAGACTGGTACTACCAGATCCACTCCAACCTGGAGTACCAGCCCAGGTCAGTCCTCTGACAGGTTCTGGTAGCAGAGAGAGGTTCTGGTCCAGTTCAGTTCTGATGGTTCTGGTCCAGTTCTGATGGTTCTGGTCTCTGCAGGTCTGGAGAGAAGATCTCCTGTAGGGTGGAACACGCCAGCCTGAAGGAACCTCTGATCACTGACTGGGGTAAAAATATGACTGACTGAATGTCTGACTGACTGAATGTCTGACTGACTGAACATCTGACTGACTGAACTTCTGTCTGTCCTCACATAATCTCCTCCTTTTTCATGTGGTCCCCTCCTGTCTCATATGGTCTCCTCCTGTCCTCATATCATCTCCTCCTGTCTTATATGGTCTCCTCCTTTATAATGTGGTCTCCTCCTTTCTAATATGGACTCCTCTTGTCCTCATATCATCTCATCCTGCCTCATATGGCCTCCCCCTGTCTCATGTGGTCTCCTCCTGCCTCATATGGTCTCCTCCTGCCTCATATGGTCTCCTCCTGTCCTCATATCATCTCCTCCTGTCTTATATGGTCTCCTCCTTTATAATGTGGTCTCCTCCTTTCTAATATGGACTCCTCTTGTCCTCATATCATCTCATCCTGTCTCATTTGGTCTCCTCCTGTCTAATATGGCCTCCCCCTGTCTCATGTGGTCTCCTCCTGCCTCATATGGTCTCCTCCTGTCCTCATATCATCTCCTCCTGTCTTATATGGTCTCCTCCTTTATAATGTGGTCTCCTCCTTTCTAATATGGACTCCTCTTGTCCTCATATCATCTCATCCTGTCTCATTTGGTCTCCTCCTGTCTAATATGGCCTCCCCCTGTCTCATGTGGTCTCCTCCTGCCTCATATGGTCTCCTCCTGTCCTCATATCATCTCCTCCTGTCTTATATGGTCTCCTCCTTTATAATGTGGTCTCCTCCTTTCTAATATGGACTCCTCTTGTCCTCATATCATCTCATCCTGTCTCATTTGGTCTCCTCCTGTCTAATATGGTCTCCTCCTGTCTCATTTGGTCTCCTCCTGTCTCATGTGGTCTCCTCCTGCCTGATATGGCCTCCTCCTGTCCTCCTATGGCCTCCTCCTGTCTCATGTTGTCTCCTCCTTTTTCATATGGTCTCCTCCTGTCTCATATGGTCTCCCCGTCCTCATATCATCTCCTCCTGTCTTATATGGTCTCCTCCTTTATAATGTGGTCTCCTCCTTTCTAATATGGACTCCTCTTGTCCTCATATCATCTCCTCCTTTCTCATGTGGTCTCCTTCTGCCTCATATGGCCTCCCCCTGTCTCATGTGGTCTCCTCCTGCCTCATATGGTCTCCTCCTGTCCTCATATCATCTCCTCCTGTCTTATATGGTCTCCTCCTTTATAATGTGGTCTCCTCCTTTCTAATATGGACTCCTCTTGTCCTCATATCATCTCATCCTGTCTCATTTGGTCTCCTCCTGTCTAATATGGCCTCCCCCTGTCTCATGTGGTCTCCTCCTGCCTCATATGGTCTCCTCCTGTCCTCATATCATCTCCTCCTGTCTTATATGGTCTCCTCCTTTATAATGTGGTCTCCTCCTTTCTAATATGGACTCCTCTTGTCCTCATATCATCTCATCCTGTCTCATTTGGTCTCCTCCTGTCTAATATGGTCTCCTCCTGTCTCATTTGGTCTCCTCCTGTCTCATGTGGTCTCCTCCTGCCTGATATGGCCTCCTCCTGTCCTCCTATGGCCTCCTCCTGTCTCATGTTGTCTCCTCCTTTTTCATATGGTCTCCTCCTGTCTCATATGGTCTCCCCGTCCTCATATCATCTCCTCCTGTCTCATATGGTCTCCCCCTGTCTCATATTGTCTCCTCCTGTCTCATATGGTCTCCCCCTGTCCTCATACCATCTCCTCCTGTCTCATTTGGTCTCCTCCTGTCTAATATGGTCTCCTCCTTTCTCATGTGGTCTCCTCCTGTCTCATATGGTCTCCTCCTTTCTCATATGGCCTCCTCCTGTCTCATATGGTCTCCTCCTGTCTCATACGGTCTCCTCCTGTCTCATACGGTCTCCTCCTTCTCATATGGTCTCCTCGTGTCTCATACGGTCTCCTCCTGTCTCATACGGTCTCCTCCTGTCTCATATGGTCTCCTCCTGTCTCATATGGCCTCCTCCTGTCTCATATGGTCTCCTCCTTCTCATATGGTCTCCTCCTGTCTCATATGGTCTCCTCCTGTCTCATACGGTCTCCTCCTGTCTCATATGGTCTCCTCCTGTCTCATATGGCCTCCTCCTGTCTCATATGGTCTCCTCCTTCTCATATGGTCTCCTCCTGTCTCATATGGTCTCCTCCTGTCTCATACGGTCTCCTCCTGTCTCATATGGTCTCCTCCTTCTCATATGGTCTCCTCCTGTCTCATATGGTCTCCTCCTGTCTCATATCGTCTCCTCCAGTCTGTTATTGTCTCCTCCTGTCTCATATGGTCTCCTCCAGTCTCATACTGTCTCCTTCTGTCTCATATGGTTTCCTCCTGTCTCATATGGTCTCCTCCTGTCTCATATTGTCTCCTCATGTCTCATATGGTCTCCTCCTGTCTCAAATTGTCTCCTCCTGTCTCATATGGTCTCCTCCTGTCTCATATTGTCTCCTCCTGTCTGTTATTGTCTCTTCCTTTCTCATACTGTCTCCTTCTGACTCATATGGTCTCCTCCTGTCTCATATGGTCTCCCCCTTCCTCATATTGTCTCCCCCTGTCTCATATTGTCTCCTCCTGTCTCATATGGTCTCCTCCTGTCTCATATTGTCTCCTCCTATCTGTTATTGTCTCCTCCTGTCTCATATGGTCTCCTCCTGTCTCATATCGTCTCCTCCAGTCTGTTATTGTCTCCTCCTGTCTCATATGGTCTCCCCCTGTCTCATATCGTCTCCTCCTGTCTCATATTGTCTCCTCCTGTCTCATATCGTCTCCTCCAGTCTGTTATTGTCTCCTCCTGTCTTATATGGTCTCCCCCTGTCTCATATTGTCTCCTCCTGTCTCATATGGTCTCCTCCTGTCCTCATATCATCTCCTCCTGTCTCATTTGGTCTCCTCCTGTCTAATATGGTCTCCTCCTTTCTCATGTGGTCTCCTCCTGTCTCATATGGTCTCCTCCTTTCTCATATGGCCTCCTCCTGTCTCATATGGTCTCCTCCTGTCTCATACGGTCTCCTCCTGTCTCATACGGTCTCCTCCTTCTCATATGGTCTCCTCCTGTCTCATACGGTCTCCTCCTGTCTCATACGGTCTCCTCCTGTCTCATATGGCCTCCTCCTGTCTCATATGGTCTCCTCCTGTCTCATATGGTCTCCTCCTTCTCATATGGTCTCCTCCTGTCTCATATGGTCTCCTCCTGTCTCATACGGTCTCCTCCTGTCTCATACGGTCTCCTCCTTCTCATATGGTCTCCTCCTGTCTCATATGGTCTCCTCCTGTCTCATATCGTCTCCTCCAGTCTGTTATTGTCTCCTCCTGTCTCATATGGTCTCCTTCTGTCTCATATGGTTTCCTCCTGTCTCATATGGTCTCCTCCTGTCTCAAATTGTCTCCTCCTGTCTCATATGGTCTCCTCCTGTCTCATATTGTCTCCTCCTGTCTCATATGGCCTCCTCCTGTCTCATACGGTCTCCTCCTTCTCATATGGTCTCCTCCTGTCTCATATGGTCTCCTCCTGTCTCATATCGTCTCCTCCAGTCTGTTATTGTCTCCTCCTGTCTCATATGGTCTCCTCCTGTCTCATATTGTCTCCTCATGTCTCATATGGTCTCCTCCTGTCTCAAATTGTCTCCTCCTGTCTCATATGGTCTCCTCCTGTCTCATATTGTCTCCTCCTGTCTGTTATTGTCTCCTCCTTTCTCATACTGTCTCCTTCTGACTCATATGGTCTCCTTCTGTCTCATATGGTCTCCCCCTTCCTCATATTGTCTCCTCCTGTCTTATATGGTCTCCCCCTGTCTCATATTGTCTCCTCCTGTCTCATATGGTCTCCTCCTGTCTCATATTGTCTCCTCCTATCTGTTATTGTCTCCTCCTGTCTCATATGGTCTCCTCCTGTCTCATATCGTCTCCTCCAGTCTGTTATTGTCTCCTCCTGTCTCATATGGTCTCCCCCTGTCTCATATCGTCTCCTCCTGTCCTCATATCATCTCCTCCTGTCTCATTTGGTCTCCTCCTGTCTAATATGGTCTCCTCCTTTCTCATGTGGTCTCCTCCTGTCTCATATTGTCTCCTCTTGTCTCATATGGTCTCCTCCTGTCCTCATATCATCTCCTCCTGTCTCATTTGGTCTCCTCCTGTCTAATATGGTCTCCTCCTTTCTCATGTGGTCTCCTCCTGTCTCATATGGTGTCCTCCTTTCTCATGTGGTCTCCTCCTGTCTCATTTGGTCTCCTCCTGTCTCATGTGGTCTCCTCCTGCCTGATATGGCCTCCTCCTGTGGCCTCCTCCTGTCTCATATGGTCTCCTCCTGTCCTCATATCATCTCCTCCTGTCTTATATGGTCTCCTCCTTTATAATGTGGTCTCCTCCTTTCTAATATGGACTCCTCTTGTCCTCATATCATCTCATCCTGTCTCATTTGGTCTCCTCCTGTCTAATATGGCCTCCCCCTGTCTCATGTGGTCTCCTCCTGCCTCATATGGTCTCCTCCTGTCCTCATATCATCTCCTCCTGTCTTATATGGTCTCCTCCTTTATAATGTGGTCTCCTCCTTTCTAATATGGACTCCTCTTGTCCTCATATCATCTCATCCTGTCTCATTTGGTCTCCTCCTGTCCAATATGGTCTCCTCCTTTCTCATGTGGTCTCCTTCTGCCTCATATGGCCTCCCCCTGTCTCATGTGGTCTCCTCCTGCCTCATATGGTCTCCTCCTGCCTCATATGGTCTCCTCCTGTCCTCATATCATCTCCTCCTGTCTTATATGGTCTCCTCCTTTATAATGTGGTCTCCTCCTTTCTAATATGGACTCCTCTTGTCCTCATATCATCTCATCCTGTCTCATTTGGTCTCCTCCTGTCTAATATGGCCTCCCCCTGTCTCATGTGGTCTCCTCCTGCCTCATATGGTCTCCTCCTGTCCTCATATCATCTCCTCCTGTCTTATATGGTCTCCTCCTTTATAATGTGGTCTCCTCCTTTCTAATATGGACTCCTCTTGTCCTCATATCA